TGCTGTGAAGTAGATGCTAGGGTCTAAGTGAACTCTACAAGGGCATAGTGGTTTAATGGTTAGTCCTGACTGCAAGTATTGGTTCTGCCATAGTGATATCTAGATCAGCTGTAAAAATAGGTACAAAAGGCTTTGAGGAGTTTACCTTGAGGATAAATTAGTCCTAAGGTTGAGAATGATAATCTGGTACATCTGAAATGATCAGTAATGTTAACACAGATTACAGGTTCAGAGGGTTTAAAGTGAAACACCCAAGCAGAGGTGTTAGGTATGGCAATTGGTAGAGAACCTTCGGGTGGACTCCTTAAATAGGTAATATAGAAAAGTTATACATATAGCCAATTGTATGCTCTCCTGTAGTAGTTTATTGAACTACAATACTGATAAGTAATTAATAAAAGTCAAAAAACCAAAGAGGTCACCTTAAAAATAAAAAATAAAAAAAAAAATGTTATTCAAATTTGAAGATTGGGCACTTAACTGTAACAACAATTCTAAAGCAAACTAATGAGTAGAATCAACTTAAGAATGATAAACAAACAAAAATAACCTTTTATTTTTATCTAGTAAAGTATCTGAGATTAAAACTCACTATAAATATATAAGTAGAACAGATTATAATCAATAAAATAATTTTATCAAATTTATTAATAAAGGAGAAAGATTACCATTTTGCAAAAGAATTTGGCATATCTGAAGAATTACTTGTATTTTCAAATAAGTAGATCACTAAGTTTAAAAAGCAAAATAAATTAAGAAAAATAATTATACATAATGAGACAGCAAGTGCCTCTATTAAAAATCTATTTACAAAATGTATTAAATTACAAGAATTTTTTTCTCAGTATAATTCAAAAGATATATATAATGCAGATAAACCAGATCTGTTTTACTGATTACTTTCAAATCAAATAATTTTCAACAAAGTAATAGCTGAAAAAAAAAGATTAAAAAAAAAAATAAAATAAAAAAAATAATACTTTTACTAAAATGCATTATATCTATGATGTTTTACTACTTATGTTGTATTATTTCAAAACCCAACTAATTAATTAATATGTAGTATTCTAAGTAAAAATGCACTACACCTTTAAAAATCTATTCCAAACCCTAATTCTAATTTTTAAATATTAAAAAAATTCTATAAAAATATATAATAGATAGTAAAACACTATAGGTGCATTTTAGTAAAAATAAAAAAATAAAAAAATTTTTCTAAACAATAAATTTTTTTAGAACAAATTAAGAGTAACTATGTTATTTTGTGCTAATTCGACTGACTCTCACAAGTTTTATTTAATAGTTATCAGTTCATCTAGAAAACTATGTTATTTTAATAAAGTAAATTACTCACAATTACTAGTTGACTATCAAGATAATAAAAAAGCATAGATGTGAAGTAATATATAAGAAAAGTGGTTGAAGTTTATTGATGCTGGTTTTCATATCCAAAATAAAAAGTTTTGCTTTTAGTTGATAATGTGCCCTTTCATATAACATTAAAGAAAAACTATACAAATAAAATTCAAAATAATGATGATGAATTTAAAAGACTTGATAAATCTGAAGAACCTGAAGAATCCAAAAAACCTAAAGAACCTGAAAACTTTGAAGAATTAAAAGAAATTAATAAATTAACAGTTCAAATAATATCTCAAAAAAGGTTGCATGTAAATTTACAAAAAAGGTTCTGAAAAAGATCTAGAGAAAGGCCTAAGAAAAACGATGAGAAAGGCTATATAGAAGGCCTTAAGGTAGGTCATAAGAAAGGTTTCAGAAAGGTTCCAGAAAAGGTCTCAAGAAAGGTCATAAGAAGAATTTCAAAAAAAAAGTCTCAGACTATTCTTATCTTACAAATATTACTGTGCAGTTTCTTCTGTCTAATATGATAATACATCTTTAACCAATAAATACTAATATAATAAAAAGCTTTTAGTCAAAGTATAAAAAGCTTTATTGTCATTACTTGCTTATACAATTTGAAAAAAAATAAAGAATAAAGATGAAAATAACCTTTTTAATAAAATTTATTATTAATACTACATAGTGCAGACTATGATACCTAAGTACAATACATTATACAGACAAAAGTTGTATAGTATTTAAGATACTATACTAAGTGGTTTTTTATATAAAAAGCTTTTTTTTATATAAGATATACTCTAGATATTTTACATTCTATCATGATAGAATATTTTGCACAGGTATTATGGTCCATACTGTATAGTAAATTATTAATTGAATTGATCATAAAGTGAGATTATTTATATTACAAAAGATAAAAAAAATTTAGTTTATGTTTATTATTCCTTGTACTAGCATTAATAAATATAGGAAATTTACTTTATAACAAGCTATCAACTTTATTTCTAATATGTAGATAATGTTAGTAACATTATTATAAGAAATTGCTAAATAGCTACTGAAATTTTGTTTAAAGAAAGTGAACCAGAAGAATGCAAAAAGGAAAATAAACTTGAAGATATAATCTCTAAAATTGATAATATTAATATGCATGTTAAAGATTATTTAGTTGAAACTAATTTAGAAATTTAAGAATTAATAAGTAATATTAAAAAATATACCAATCTAATAAATTAACTAGCTATAACTGAAGATGTATTAACAGATAAAAAGATCATTAAAATAATAAATTACAAGTTTCAGGCTAATGAAGATAATGATAAAGCTAAAAATAATAATAATAAAAAACTGCTACCATCTCTAATAGCAATTGCTAAGGCCACAGAAGCATTAAAAAAGCTTATAAGATATTAAGAAAGTCTTGAAATCAGAAGGAGGTTTAATGAGAATGAACTAATAATGCTATAAAAAAATTTAAAGAATGGCATTATAAGAGAGAAAAAAATAAGAAGCAACTTTCAATTTTAACTTTTTTTGGTCTTAATGATTAAAATAGTTATAACTTACTGTGCTTTGCAAAGTAATATACCTTTTTTAGCATAATACTTTTGCTTTTATTTTTAGTAATCATAGTATAAAAAGGTTAGCTATTATGTAATAAATTTGCAAAGTAGAAAATGGGGTCCTATAGCCTAGTGGTTTAGGTGCTCCTTTCTTTTCAGACATGGTTAACAGTTTAATTTCAGCTGAAGGTAAAAACTCTGTAATCTATAGAAGCATATGATGTACATGAAGCTTTGTAGCCAAGTCTATGTAATTAAAAGATCAGTGTATAAGAAAGTTTCTGAAAAGAAGTTTCCTAATATAGAGAGTTGATGCTCGATGTAAGAGAAGTAGTAAACATACCAAAAATAGAGAGAAAGTGCACTAGCAAGTAATACAGTAAACATAAAAGGAAACTATAGAAAAGAAAAGAACTTACTGAAATTTGAACACTTCTGACACTAAACTGGTTTTAGTAAATATAAGATCTACTAAAATTGAATAAATCTAAGAGGTAATCTTAGTATTATACTTAGTAAGTCTGTATTAAAGATAAATTCGAGGAACTATAGACACCTGGTAATATTCAATATAGTAATACCTTGATATAAATAGTAATTAGATAGCTCTGATCTGATATATCCATATGATAATATAAGTGTTGTATATATGCAATAAGATTAAAACCAAAAAGTTTAAATAGAAAATTTATAGGCAAATCTCAGATATGACAGCTAGTAGATAACTCTTAGATGAAACCCTTAATTAGATAATAACTAAAGTTATGCATATTACTAGTTGTACTTTTATTGATAAACTTTGTATATAATTATATAACAATATATTACACAATAAAGACAGACAGACAAGATTGCTACTTTAATACAAAAAAAAATAATAATAAAAATAAATTTGCAAAGTATTCAGATATTTTAATCACTATATAAATGATTAAAAAATTTTTAAATAAAGTATTTTGTTTTCAAAAACTGCTTTAAATTTCTTTATTGTTTGTTTTTAATAAATTCTAACTTTACACTAAACATTGTAATAAAAATTTTAATTATGCTTATAAAGTTTGTTAGATTAATAGCTTACAAACATATGCACTTAATTTCAAAAGATTAATCCTACTTTTTTTTTTTAATTTTTTATTAGAAATATTATATATTAATAGTCCACCAAATCTATTTATACTTATAATTAATAATAATATAGCTAGCTTTGTTAATTAATTTGCAGTAACAAGTCTAGTCATTATTTTTCAAGTTCCTAAAAGCTGTTTTTTCCAAAAAACATAATCTTGACAAAGTTAGTTAATATTAAGCTTAATGTTTGCTAATTTAGTCTGTATTATATCTTTTTAAAAAAATGGCATTTAAAAAATTGTATAGTAACAAGCCTAGTTGAGCCTTATATGATAGAATTATTCTTTCTAATACACTAGTAAATTAGGATCTATTTAACTCAATTTAAATTCTTTATCAATAATAATATATTTAATAGACTTAAAGCTAATAGGTAATTCATTTATTTCTAAAAACACAAAATTATTTTATTTTGAAGCAATATTTCTATTTAGGCATTCAAAGTTAGTTTGCATTAAAGCATCTATTATTTCTAATAAAAAGTTTTTACTATAATTTAACTTTCATAATATAAAAAAAAAAAGTAAAAAAATTCTAAACTAAAAGTAAAGCTTAACTTAAGAAATACTAAATGCTATGTGCATGGCTGAAGTTATTCAAAATAGCAAATTTATAGTTCTAACTATATTCTAAAATATAGTAAAGTTAAGAATATGTTTATTTTAATATATTAATTTCAGAAAGCATTATTCAGAGATTTAAAAAAGCACTATCTAAAATATTGAATATTAAATTATATATATATACACTTTTTTTATAGCTCATAATGTGTTTTATAAGCACTAGACTATACTCTAATAAAAATTTGTTCTTGTTTAAGATCTAGCAGTTTTTGCTATATATCAGGATTTATAAAAATTTTATATATACTTTTAAATAAAAAATATAAATATTAATATGCAAGTATTTAGGGGTGTGGCAACTTAGTGAAGTGGATAAGTTGTCAACCCCCTAAGTGGTAGGTTGTAAGTTCAAAACCCATCGATAGCGAAAATTTGAATAATCATCTATGTAATACATAGATGGTATTACGGCAACGGCATTCTGTCGATCAGTTGGGATAGGATACCTGTAACTATGGTCG